ATGACAACTAAATTTTTTTGTAATATGAAATTCTTGCGAATTTGAAGTTTTTACGAATCTTCCATTCTTGCGAAACTAAAACTCTTGCAAACCTAAAGTTCTTGTGAACTTAAAATTCTTTCGAACCTGAAATTCTTAAGAACCTAAAAATTCTTACGAATCTTTCATTCTTACAAACTTAAAAATTCTTGTGAAACTAAAATTCTTAAGAATCTGAGTTCTTACGAATCTGAAATTCGAATGGTCCATTCTTGCAAACTTAAAAATTCTTACAAATCTAAATCTTGTGAATATCAAATCTTGCAAATATTCTATTCTTGTGAATTTAAAAATCTTGCGAATCTAAATTCTTGTGAATCTTTCATTTTTACAAATATGAGTTTTTGTGAATTTGAAAGTCTGTAAAACTTAAAACCTCTACAAATCTAAAAGTTTGCAAAACTTGAAATCATTATCAATCTGAAACCTTTGCAAAACTTAGAACTTTTTCTAATCTAGAACCTTTGTGAAACTTGAAATCTTTGTCAATTTAGAACTTCTAAGAATCTTGCAATTTTTGTGAATTTTGGAAATTTTCAACTCTCTTTATGAAACTTTGCAAATCTTTATAAGTTTTGTAAACCTTCGAACTTAATGATGAACTCTTGAATTTTCAAATTGTGAATCTTAGGATTCAAAGCTAAAAATTTTAAATTTTTTTGGACCTGAGCAAAATGAATGTCTTTTGACATTTCCTATTTAAAATTTTTAAAGTTGTTTAGCCTCTTTATAGAGGAGCATATTTCTTAATTTAAAGTTATTAAGCCTCTGTTTAGAGAAATTTTTTAAAAGTTTTTGAAAGTTGCATGCTACTATTTAGATGATTGTTTTTTTTAAAAAAAAGATTGATTTGGGCCCGGAAGTAATGGGTATATATGTCTTTTATGCAATTTCTGTTTTACAAAAATTGTGCAAGGAAGGATAGCTATAGATAACCCATTTTGTTTGAGAATTTTTTCAAAATCGCAAATAGACCTTTGACTGTATAATAGGTCCGATTGAGAAGATTTGGGCCTAATAAGATAAAAGCAAAAAAATTTTAATTTTAATATTAATTTTGATTTCAATTTTACTTTAGATTTTTAAATTTAGTTTTGATTTCAATTTGTCATTTTATTTTAGTTAAAAAAAAGTAAAAAAAAAGGTCAAAAAAAAAAAAAAGGTTAGGAAAAAAGGAAAGAACGGATTCGATTCTGAATAACCTTAAAATTAAAATCAAATCAAATTACAAGAAATCCTAGATTATGTTTAAAGGGATTAAATCCCTATAAAAAGATACGAACAGCAAGCACACAAAAAATCATATAAGGGGGAGACAAAATCAATAAGCAAATTCTAACTGTTAAATTCTAACTGTGAGATATTAGTCTCTATGAAAAATTTTGAGGTAAAAAAATTATGTTAAATTGCTATAAAATTATTTGAGTAATTTTAAGATCAATTTTCAATAATTAAATTATTTAATAAAATTACAAAGAGACTTTATGACTTAAATAATTTGAAATCAAACTTATATAATCTTTTGGATGAGCGCTGTAAGAGTACTATTGCATAATCGCACTCCCAAACTTAAAATCTAGTTTCGTAAATTAGAATTTATTTTTTAAAAATACATAAATTAAGTTTGAAATTTTTTTTTAAAATGAAATAAATTAAGCTAAGTGATCAATCGTATTTAAATAAAAAAATTAATGATAATTTCTAAATTTATATTATAATAAGTTTTCAAATCCATAAAATTAAAGTGATCATATTTTCTTGCAAGAAAAGGAACTGTTCATTGATGGGAAGTGTCCCTGTTGGCCAGTGTCTTTCACGACCTAGCGAGTGCTCATTTTCACTAGAGAAAAGGGGATTTAAGGTAAAAAATAAAAGATCTGCATTTAGACAGATCAAATTGTAGGAGGTGATATTCGATTTCTTCCACCTTCTCAGCAAAAGACAGAACAGCTACCGTGGGAGCAAAGGACATACTTGGACTAGGTTCATTCCCACTTTAGCTCAAAAAATTAAAGACAAAAAATTACTAGGTTTTTTTTTTAATTTAGTGGTATGGGATTGTGTTAAGTGTTTTTTTTTTTTTAAAGCTGATTTAAATAAATATATTTATGTTAGACCTAAAGAAAAATTATTTTTTATAATATTTCAATAAATTTAAACTCAATAATAAAAAAAAATCATTTTTTCTTTTTTCCACTTGAGCTACTCATCCATCGTTGTTATAGCCCCACCTAGTCGATATAAAGAATTACCGATTTTTAGAGTCTAGCTCCAGTTATTGGTATGTTTAACCAGAACGTACATTGGCCCTACTCTTCTTCTGTATAGGAATTTTGCCCTTGCATCCAGGGCACCGCCCTGGACTTTGTTTCTGAGTGCACATGAATTAATAGTTCAGCCATAGCTTTACTTTTGCATGTCACGCAAATGAATGGAACTCGTGTGCCTGGATCCATTTGCCGACCGTGATTGGAATCATGATTTTTGGGCCAAGAGGCAAGATATATTATATGTCTTAGACAAACCTAATCTCAACACCCTCTAGTGCGGATTCTTGTCGCTTTTGCTTGAGCCCATTAAATTTCACCTCACAAAATTAGTTGGTTTGAATAATGAGAATTAGAATTAGACTCGCTGTTCGTTATGAGATTTTTTTTTTTAAATTATATTTTAAATATGAGAGAAATAAAATTTTTACATTAAATTTTAATAGATGACAATATATAAAGAAATATAAATGTATTAATTTTTTAATAAAATAAGTTATTAAATAATATTTTAATTAATATAATATATATAAATATAAATTAAATAAATAACAAAATATATTCTTTTATATATTTCAAGGAAGATTAAGATAGAACACTCCAAATCTGATTTCAACTTAATTCTAATAGTTCAAACAAGTAAAATTTAATCAAATCTTTTTTTAAAAAAAAGACCATATTAATTGGATTGTAATGAATCGAAATTTATAGAATATAAATTATTTTATTATTTTTATATCCATTATTTTTTTTTATAAAATTTATCCAATAAATAAATTTTTAAAAAAATCAAATAAGATGGTGCGTATATTTATTAAATTAAGATATTAACTAATATTTTAAATAAAATAAATGTATAATATAAAATTAAATAAAAATAAAAAATATTTTTATATATATCAAAATTAAAGCGTAACACTCAAAACTTTGTTCTGACCTAAACTTAATTTAAAAAAAATTAACTTAGTTATTGGAATTAAAAAAAATGCACCAATTGAATTAAGAAAATCAAAATTTATGCAAATATGGGTTATTTTTTTTTATCTTAATTAATTTTTTATTAAAAAATTTATTTAATAAAAAACAAAAGTAAAAAAAAATTTTTAAAAATTTAAAAAGTAAAAAAAACCAAAACAAAAGCTAAAAAAAATAAAGAAAATGAAAAATAAAGAGAGATACCATGTGAACACCTGAAACAAGACAAAATACCTTGAGTCCTATTCTAACTCGATGTCATTTAAAAAAAAAATTATGATCTGATCTCAATTTTAAAAATTTACTTCTATATTAGATTGATATAAATTAAAATTAATTAAATATTGATTATTTTATTATCATATCTCTATTGATATTTTTCATAAAGTTTGTTTTTAAAAAATAAAAAATATAAAAGTTAAAAAATAACAAAAATATAAAACTATAAATTAATTAAAATACATAAAAATTGAAGGAAGAAAGGGAGGGGTGACACGTGTATAGCCCACTTTCCTCTAATGTCTGCAACTTTGATTTTTATGATGTCAGAATCGAAACATTGTTGTAAAGGGTGGTCACTAAACTTTTTATTTTCGGTTTCATCTGCTGTTTGATAACAGGATTTCCATGCTTTCTTGGATAAAGGCAAAATCAGAACATGCACGTACATACTGTGAAAGTATTATAGAGCGAATATTATGTGATGTTTTACTGATTTGATTTGGGTGTGCGATGTAAAACTTATTTTAAACTTGTAAGATATTTTTTATAAAATAAAATTATAAATTTTAAATTAAAATAAATAATATTTTATAAGTTAAACGTAGAATTAGAGCCTCACAAAAACAGGTATTATTGAAATTTTGTTGGTAACTTGATAAATGAGATAGATACGCATGTGACGGATGGTAACTTGACAAGTGAAATAGATAAGCATGAGTTTATTTCGACTTTTAACTGTCTCATAACTAGATTCAATTTTCTGACAGAATCTGTGATCCTAAGCAGAGATCATTAGAGTTAGAGTTTAGGGATTTCCCTCTTGAAAGAAAAAATGTTACTAGTTAGTAATGGAAGCTTATGATATAGGAGTTGCTTTCCAGATAACAATGGAAGAATAAAACACGTTTTTTCCAGATGATGATTGGTCTTTTCGCCATTGCAAGAAGGAAATTAAATAGTAGATGACAATTATCCGTTTCTTGCGAGTGCAATTGTTTCGGACAGTTTCAAGAGTCTTGTCAGGACTGTGCTGTTATCAATTTAATGCCTATATAATCTTCATGATCACTTAACATTCCCCATAGGCCATAGTCTCATTGCACTTTCTGATCAGTTAAGTCATCACCCTGATACTTTCTTTGCAAGTTTCACTCCCTCTAGGCTTTCCTTTCCACTTTCCTCTGGTTATTTGCTTACATTATCTCAAGCTTTTTTTTTTTTTTTTCGTATATCCTTGTCTGAATTTCTGATATACTGCCTTAAGTATACATGAATTATGATTGGTTTAGTAGAGTTTCTGCTTTTAATTTTTGTATGTAAAGTTGCCCGAATTTGAACTTATCAGTGGAATTAAGAGTCCAGAGTTTCTACTTTGTGGTAATACATTTGGACAACTATATATGGACAGCTATATATTATTCAAACGAAACAAGACGTTCCCTCAACTTGTATCAGTGTATAAACTAGTTTTTTTTTTCACATGATTTTGCAGCTAGTTTAAATTAGGCTTTGACCAATGGTATGTGTTTCTTTTATTTTTTTCAAATCAGTTTCTAAAGCTAATGGGAGGGGAGCAGTATTCTCAGTTTCATATTCAGACTTTTGAAGGAGTGATTGATGATACAAAGATGGCAAGGGCTGGCAAGGATGCGATCATGGTATCAGCTGTCAGGAAAGCCTTAAGTATTGAACACCCAGGAGACAAAAATGCTGAAGTTAGCATACAAGAAGGGACGCATGATGCGAAATTCGAACTGCCATGTGGGAAAACAACATGTGAAACAAAGTCATCAAGTACCCGATTCTTGGTTAATATGGAGTGCACTACTGCCGAGAGCTTTGATGAGATAGATTCTCTTTGTATTGGGGCTTCCAGCAATGGTATAGGCTCATCTATCTTGTATCCTGAAGACCCCTTACCATCAGATGATGCCCTAGATGACTCAACACTACAGATTAGTGGTAAAAATTATAACCGTTAGCGCATTTGACAACTTTTCAAACTATGATTTGTTGCTCCTACATGCCAAAGATTTCAAGAATATAACTGCAACCATCTGTCTTCTGCCTTGCATTTAGCTTCTTATCTTCATGGTGTTAGCTGTTATGTTTTGCATTTTAAATTCATGTTAAATTGTCACAATGGAAAGATAAACAAAACTGAAATCTCACAACTTAGTTGAGCTGGTGATTTTCTAATTGAGGCAAGTTCCTCTCTTGTACAGGAGATGATCCAACAAGTCAGTCTCAGCCAGTTCATGAAGACTCCGAATCATGCATTTGGAGGAAAATACAGTTTGAGCCTACATTACCAATATGTCTAAAGGTAACACAAAATGATCCATATACCATATTTTGTGGCATACTTTATACTATAGTTCCGTTACTGTTAGAGTCCCGATTCTACTAAAGTTACAATGAAAATGGATAGATAATCAATGTTCACTTTTGTGCAGTTTGAAGATGTTACATATAAGCTACCGGTTAGAGGTGAAAAGAACTCAGATGCAGAGAAGTACATTCTTCATGGAATAACTGGCTTGGCACATCCAGGAGAGCTTCTTGTTCTGATGGGACCATCTGGAGGGGGAAAAACAACTCTTCTTAATCTACTTAGTGGAAGAGCAAAGTTTGACAGCGGCACCATCACTTACAATGATCAACCATATTACAAGTCATTAAAGTGGAGGTGCATACCGATACAGGCTTGCATTTGTTACTGCATGAGATGTTGAATTCTAATCTAATGAGCCATTGATCTACGTGCACGCAACAGGATTGGTTTTGTACTGCAAGATGATGTTGCCTTTCCTCATCTTACTGTCAAGGAAACGCTAACATATGCTGCTCTGCTCCGTCTCCCAAATACCTTAACTATGCAGCAGAAAAAGGAAAGGGCTATGAATGTAATTAGCGAGCTAGGCCTTGAAAGGTACACTCTTCATTAATCTTTTTATTCTATGCAATTTTGTGACTCAAATTTAAATCTTTTCAACTAATAAAATGACCGAATTGGGGCTTCTCAAATTAATTTCAGCCACATATGATGGGGATTGGCCAATACGGTAGCATTTACTTCTAGAATTTCTGGTTCAAAAGCTTCATATGACTGAGTTATAAAGACATAAGGATAGTACTAGCACTTCTTCATTAGAGGGTAAACAACAGTAGGTTATTTATTTATTGCAGATAGGTTATTGTAAGGATTTCTACTTGGTTGTAAACCAAAACACTGATTGCATGTTTTCAGATGCCAAAATACAGTGATTGGTGGGACATTTTTGAGAGGAATTTCTGGTGGTGAAAGAAAAAGGGTCTGCATTGCCAATGAAATTCTTCTTAATCCCTCACTTCTATTTTTAGATGAACCAACATCAGGTCTGGATTCAACAACTGCATTTCGAATCGTTCAGATACTAAATAACATTGCACAGGTACTTAAAATACTTGGTTTCTTGATGTCAAGATTTGTAAGGTGCTTTAACTTACTTGTGCTTTGTAGTCTGGCAAGACAGTAGTGACTACCATACATCAGCCATCTAGTAGACTATTTAGCAAGTTTGACAAGCTGATTCTCTTGGGTAAAGGCAGCTCCTTGTACTATGGCAAAGCCTCAGATGCAATGCTATATTTCTCTTCAATGGGTTGTTCTCCACTCATAGCCATGAATCCAGCAGAGTTTCTCATTGATTTGGCCAATGGAAACATAAAAGACAAATCAGTTCCATCAGATTTGGAGGACAGGTTTTTGCCGAGAAACAGAAGCCTTTATATGAAACATGGAGGGCCTTCTCAAGTTGATGTCCACGAGGTCAACATTGAATGCCTAAATTAAGTTTCATTTATATATCTTTAAACCATCTCTCTTAAGGCAATCTTGAATTTTCACCACTGCAGTATCTGGTGGAAGCATATGCATATGCAGCGAGGGTAGCAAAGTTGGAGAACACAAAGATCCTAAATCCTGTGCTGATAGATGCTGAACCTAAGATGCCGACAAGGTTGAATTCAACGGAATGGGGAGCAACTTGGTGGGATCAGTTCTCAATTCTTTTCAAAAGGGGCCTTAAGGGGAGACGCCATGAATACTTCAGCGGCATCCGAGTAACCCAAGTTTTATCTACTGCTATCATCGTGGGTTTACTTTGGTGGCGTTCTGATGCTTCGTCTCCTAAGGGACTTCAGGATCAGGCAACTATCAGTTACATGCTTATGTTGGTTTTGGTTACAAAGTTTTTCAATGAAAAATCTTTTCTTACATTTTGTAAAATATCTGTTTACTGTTGGCATTGCAATGCTTGCAGGCAGGGCTGTTATTCTTCATTTCAGTGTTTTGGGCTTTCTTTCCTATGTTTACTGCCATTTTCACATTCCCTCAAGAGAGAGTGATGCTAGCTAAGGAACGATCTATAGGCATGTACAGACTGAGTGCCTATTTGTCGGCCAGAATGACTAGTGATTTTCTTTTGGATCTCATATTGCCTTTAGGGTTTCTTGTGATTGTCTATCTCATGGTAGGCTTGAAACCAACATTTACAGCATTTTCTCTGACAATGCTTACAGTTTCCCTATGTGTTATTGCTTCCCAGGTGAAGTATTATAATCAAACATCAATCACTTCTGACACAAAATTTAGATTTTACAGACTATGACAAGTTTTTTTATTTTTTTTCTAAATTTGCAGGGTCTTGGCCTTACTATAGGAGCAGCATTCATGGATGTGAAGAAAGCAGCAACATTGGCTTCCGTTATTATTATGGCCTCCATGTTATCCGGCGGATTCTTTGTCCAGGTGTGATTCCTATACTCTAGTTAGTTATTTCTTGAGACAAAAGTAGAAGCACAAGTCCTAGAAGTGTAGGATAGTTACATTTACAATGCGTATCAGATTCTGACCTTCAATAATTTGGTTGCAGAAAGTTCCACTATTTATGTCATGGGTACGATACATCTCATTTACATATCATACATACAGGCTGTTGCTAAAGATTCAGTATGGTTGTTCTGGATCAGATGCTGGATCAGGTTCATGTAAGTCTTCTTTCAAAGGATTACTCGATTGGGATCGCATGGAAGTCGGTACTATGATAGCATTGATCATAGGATGTCGGCTACTAGCCTATGCATTCTTAAGGAGAATGAAATTAATGACAATAACTTAGTTTATATCTTTCAACAGTGTTAATTTGTCTGATTTGTAAAAGGGTAATTCATAAGGAAAGGAAATGTTCTGTTTGCACAGTTTGGCTTACTATCCAATTTATAATTTATAATGGCAGCTGAATTTAGGCTTGGCTGAGATAAATGGAGTGTAGCAGCCATAACATCCTGGTAAATAAGACGGGAATTCCGCTATTGAGTTACTTCTTCCTGTATATTCAATTTTCAGTCTTTCAATGATTTTAAACTCTGATTTAGAAATGATTGGAGGTTAAAGCAATGCAATCAAATGTTGAAGGTGAGAAATGGATACCCATCACTGCCTTTCCTTCTGGATCACTTTGTTTTACTGGGTCAAAAAATTTGCCCGTACTTTCTGGTATCCAATAATTAATCTCCTGTTAATGCTTGACATTTTTCTAGTTCAATGTTTCAAAGGGTTCCATAATCCAATTCTCTTTGCAGGTTCTAATATAATAACAAACCTAACTGGTTAAAAGGAGAATGAAAGAGAGATCAGACTTCAGTAAAACTTCAATTCCTGAGTCATCAATTCCACATTTTGGCATGAAAATTTATTATATCGTCTAAAGATTTGTAAAATACAACAAAGAATACGTGTTTTCTGCTTGTGTAACCATCTCAACCCGAATGGATGTCCTTCGTGCTTCTTTATATACTATTTTCAGACTAGAATAGACATGTTCCCACTACCAATGGAGCCGGAAACTTGCTGTCTGCATTAATGGATGCAGAAAATATGCACCTCGTGTCAATGCAGTTATGGACAAATACGGCAACCGAATAAATTCCTTGTAGTAATCTTTGGGCAATTTTTGACGGCCATCAAGGATTGATGCTTGTTCGCTTCTTTACAACTTCAAAAGCCTCACCATGTTGCACAGCTAGTCTCCTGTCACCATTCCAAACACCAAATAGATGATGTCCAATCAAACCAATGGAGGCTGCAACGGCTACAGAGTTTCCAATCCAAATTGTATGGGCCAGGCACCACATCACCTGCCCTACCATCTGAAAATATAGAGAAAATTATGAAGTTGACCATATGAAACATACAAGAAGAAACAGAAAGTGTTACGCAAGAAGATGCCTGGCTGGTAAATAAACAAAACAATTCCATTCCTTGTGACAATCAGGAGCTTAAAAAAACAAGATTAAATTTATTCCCTATTATTAGCAGTGTATCAAATATATATTCCTTTTCAAGAGCATGTTATACAAGGGTGGATGGCCTCTCTGATTATAGATTGCAGGAATACAACAAATAACCTTGAAGGCCAGTCTAGTATTCACTACACCAAATGACAATGAATTCCCAACATATGAAAATGGACTTTAATTTTTTTTTTTTTTTTGTTTTTTTGAAAGGTAAGGCAAGATGAATTATGAACATGGACATTAATATCAAAGATAATAGTGGTGAACCCGTGGATGCCGGGTGATTCTCATGATGCCAGTTTCCCATAGATGCATTTTAGGCTGGTCAACGACTGCTACCTCTAATTGATTAAAAGTAGAAGGATATAGAAAAAAGAAGGAAATAAAATTTGAGAGCCATACAAGTTGATGGATTCGGGGAGCATTTTGAAGCTGCCATAATTGCACCCCATCATACCTGTGGTTGATGAAGTACACCTGCAACACAAACATGGAAAGTCAACAATTGGAAAAACTCACCATGCTTTTGAGAGACCAAGAATTTCAAATTAAAGCTGCAAAACAATAACCCAATTTTGATTTTTATGAATCAAAATTATTTTTTTAATAAATTTTAATTAATTTTATAATTTTATTAAAAAATAAATTTTTTAAATAATCAATTACATCTTAAAATAAAATATTAGTGATAACTTTCCCTTGTTTTAAAATTCATTTAAAATTTTTTGTCCGACATCACCTAAATTGTTACAACAATATACATTTATTACAAGATAATGGTACATATTATATGATTAAATATTATATTTTATCAATAATCACTTATAATATTAAACTAATACCCATTAAGCATTAATAACATAAAATAATTTATATTAATTTTATATATTATTATTTTTTATTATAGCACCAAATTAATAAATATTTTATTAGATTATTTTTTCTGAAATTCTGCCAAAGGCTTGCCTCTACATTTTCGATTTTTTCCTTCCATTGATACGCTCATTGCCGCTCCACCCTCTCTAAAAACCCAATTCCCTTTTACTTTCCTATGCCGCTCCATTTCTTTATCTTTCCCTTCTTCATTCTTTTTCCCATTTTTCAAAAGTTCTTTAGAAAAAAAAAAAAAAAAAAAACCCTAGCTTCACTTCCACCACTGCTTCCTTTATTAATCATCATTGGCAGGGTAACCCTGATATAATCGCCTTCCTTTTCTCGGGAGCATGCGAATTTGACTGACTGTAAAGCATATAAAGCCATTTAAAAAAATCATACCTACACAATGTTCTGCGATATGATGCGTTGAACAAAGTTTAGTTTATATATTCATAAAAGTCAACTATCTCTTTGATGCTTATTTAAATTTCAATTATGACTCTTCTATCTGACTCTATATATAATTGTTTCACAATTCTGTACTTTAGGTTCTGTGAAAAGCAGGCCCAGATTAACAGCAGAATTCTGGAAAATCTAGGGATTAGTTCTTCTTGTAAACACCGAACATTTCTAGAAGCTTGATTATTCCTTATCTGTTCCCTGAGATCTTGGCAGCAACTCTGCAAATTAGAATATAAGAAACGAAAATTAGCCTATATAGTTTATATATTTATGCAAAGAGAGAGCATATATATAATGCATTTTTTTTTACTTGAAAACTATATTAGCCTTGGGAGTTTTTTTTGGTATTTGATGTTTAAAAATTCAACCCTAATTATTGAAAATAAAAGTCTAACATCCCACAGTGGACTGCAGAGCTGGTGACGAGCATTGAGAGTTTTCTATTTCCCAGATGTACAAACTTCTTAATAATCATGACTTCTGGTGATTTTGTAATTACATTGGAGGAGGGAGGATTAGAATTTGAGACTTCCTATATATAAAGGAATGGGGTGAGGTTATCATTGAGGATTGGAGAAAGATAACTTTGCTAATAAAATGATTTGATTGGAAAATGTTACATATGTTCAGCTGCAAATGGGAAGCTGTTAATACTAGAGAAAGATAATACTAGACTAGAGGCAACAATATTAAAATTGGTTTTATATTAAAAATTAAAATTCCAAAATGTGCATACAATAAATAAAAAAAGAAGTTAGTGAACATTGAAAGAGGTGAAAGAAAGACCAGTTTTCCACCAAAGGGGATGTAAAATATGAGGTCCTGGAATTCACAAGCATGTGAAAGAAGTTGGTCCAGTTTTTTGGGGTCCTTGACATTAATGGCACTATAGAAATCCTGGATCAAGTCTAATACTGAAGGAGTGGACCAATCCCACAAGACTTATCAATACTGCAACAGACCTTGATTCCATTGATCTTTTTCTTACTCCCATAATTTGAGTGCTTCTCTCCTATTGATAATTGTGAAAATGTGGCTGTAGGATTTGCTTGTTTTGTGACTAGATTGACGGAATGCCTAACGCTAATCCCTGCTTGAGCAGGGGATAGTGGCTTGAAGTTCCTATGTTTGACCCAGGCAAGATCCTAAAGAAAATTGAATAGAAGAAGTTGTAAATAACTAATTTTATTTGGATAGGTTGGAGTTTGTTCGTTTCTTTTAGTTTGATTTTAACATTTCATTTCGGAATAACTTAAACAGTTAAGTTAAATTTAATTAATTTAAGCTCGTTGGAATTTGTTTAGGATTATTTTTTTTTTTTATCTTTTTGCATAGGCCAAAGTTCAAACCATTTCATTTGGATCAATTCAAAACCTAATCAATTGGACTTAAAGGCCTAAAATTTAAATGTAAGTCCAGATTTAATTTTTAAGACCCAATTTCATTAGAATTAATTAATTGAAAAACAAAATAAAAAATAGATTAAAAAAAAAGCTTGAAGCTGAGACTACCATGGCAGCCACCTTTCCACGTTTCCCAAAACCCTCGTCCCAAAAGAATGCCCATTTTGAGCTCTCTGATTTTCCCCTTTCAATTTATCATCTAACCCTAAACATCAATTAAGCTTATTCCACGATCCTAGGCACAGCAGCTCCTCTGCCCCATGCCAACAACACTTCAAAGACCAAATCCCCACTCTTTTCTATAAGGATTTTGGTTCTATAAGGAATCAGAATTACAGAAGCAAAGGAAAAACCTATGGATTACCAATTCACCGTGATCACCACATTACACCACCACCCTGCTACCAGACACCTGACCCCCCATTCGGCACTGACCACTTCCAACGCCCATGTACTCCTCTCCAACCTTTAACCAACAACCACCAAAACACATACGCTTAGTAAAAATTTTCCTTGTCCAAAATGAAAGGTCTTTCTCACCCAACAAAGACAAATGTCATGCTAATAATGCAAATGCCTTCTAAATGCAACAATCTAGATTTTCACTAAATTATGCAAATGCAAATGTCATACAATGATTCAAATGTGCTGTACATGCATGCCCCAACCATGATGCAAATGCGATTATCAAAGATTTAAATACAATGTATGTAATGTAGATGTTACTAAATCAATGCCATAAAATTTCAATTATGGTAACAAGGTTTTTAAGACTCTACCATCTCATATATTCCTTCTTAGCTTCTCAACATTAAAGATCTCAGAACAAATTCCATCATTTGATCTATGTTATTTTCCTCATCTGATCCCAACTCACAGATTATTTTAATCAATCCATCATTGTATTCATCCCTATGTCACCTTATAAATTGTTTTCTCAGGCTTCTTTCACTTCTATCATCTTAGATTTCTTTAGAAAAAATCATTCATTCATTTATCATCATTCTAATTCGTGATAAACATTATATATTTCCTTAATTCATTTAAAAGATGTACACTTTGTAAAAAATAAGAGAAATGGGTCTTCATTAACAAAAAAAGTATGGTCAAGAATTATTCAAATATAAATGGAAGTAAAAAGCTGTGATTGTTTAAATGAGATATTAAATATAGAGTAATGATTGTTTAGACAATTTTAAACTTTAACTCAGAATTTTTTCTTAAAAATACATTCAATGATATTCTTGATCTTTGAATAAAATCCATATCCTATGATTCTTCAAATGAAGTTGTTTTCTCAAGTTTTTTTTCCACTTAAATCGCCTTTTTCAAGTTTTCAGTTTAAATCTTTCTTTTCTCATTTTTTTTATTTTTTGCTATTTTGCTATTTTCGTTTTTCATTTTCATTGTTTTTGCACATCTCTTTCTCATCTTTTTTTTTTGTCATTTCTTTTCCTCCTTTGATCCTTCAATGATACTTTAGTCAAAATTTCAACAAACTAATTGCAAATCTACCTTAGTTTAATTCATAATTATTCAATTTGAGTATTCACATTTGATCAAAATGAACTTTTTAAGGACATAATGTAAGCTAATGTGAAAGGTTATGAAAGAAATG